AAATATTTTACAAAGCTCATAGAAAGAGAATTTCCATCAGAATCTGTAAGCAAACTATTACAAGATTCTGCTTACGGCATTTTAAATACTATGGCTGGAGTGAAATCTACACTTAAGAGGGAAATCCTCCTATTAGTGTGCAGCATCTGGCAAAGAAGGGCAGGAAGAAGGGAGATGTACCTGTGCAGGAGCCATCCTGCTGGCACAGGGTAAAATGGCTCAGGATAAGCCCCTTAAATCATTTTTAATTAAAAAAAAAAGAAGCAGTGTGTTGTTCTGGCTAACACACGCTACCCAAAGCCACTTACATGCTGAATGGCTAGCCAATACTATTCCCCACCTGGCAGACTATAGCCCTTTCCAGGTATGGTGCACCAGCCTATTAGTAGCCAGTCCTCGTCACTAATGCTTAGGGCAGAATCATGGCTGGCTGCTTTGTGTGGGGTATGGCATGCCTTCTTCTCCCACTAACACACCGGCCTAGCACAAGGCAGGATTTAACCCTAAATTTTTGCACAGAAAACATGATGAGCTAAATGAGCTCCACGATGGGTATGACACTTCCCAGGGGTACTCAGGGTTGTGAGGCACCTTGCTACCACTGGCCCTTAGTGTGAGAAATTACCAGACCTGCAGTTCCTGAAGGAACAGTGCTCTGCAGCTTACTAGTTAGACCTTAGATTTATTTATGGAGAAATCAAGTATAAATTTATTTAACAAAGAATAGAGATTCATATGAGAGCAAACAGAAATATTGGAAACAAACAGTTACATATACAATAAAATCCTAACATGCATTCTAGAGCCTAAACACAACTCACCAGATGCTCTCTTGTCTAGTAAGATACTGAAGTCCTTCTTAGAGAACTTTTTAACCAGGGTGGCTGAGACGCTTCTTTCATGGCATCAAGTCTGATGGTAATTTGTCTCCCTCAGTAAAGGATGCCAAAGCATCTTTCTGCACCCCAAGATATACCAGACCAGTCTTTTGTTCTTCATCTCTAAAACAGGGCCCTACCCCACCTGTTTTACTTCTTAATTTTCCTTCTGAAGTCCCCACAATTTCTTCATTAGAATTTGATTCAGTATGTAAATAGATCCCCATTGTAAGACACACAATACACAATGGTCAGCCAGGAATATAAATGTATCTCATCTCCTGTACGGTGTAACTTCACTGAAGGCATGCTACCTCTGGATGACCTGCCTGTAACTACAAGGCCCTAGGAACATAATTTCCAATATATACATTTCTCCTTACATATTATATGCACATACATTTCACAAAGATTATGGTGATCAGTCTGACAAGCTTTCAGCAGAAACCATACATGACCCTCTTTAGAGAATTAGAATGTAAATACCAGATCCGGGGGATCCCTGTAACAATTATGTATCCCTGTACCCTCTGCCAGATGGCATCAAGAGATTCTTTGGTCACAATAAGTATAAAATATCTTTTCAACCTTAAAGTTCTACATTAGAAATTCAGTAATATCTGTAGGTAAAGATGATTGCTTTAGAAAAGATCAGCAACCGATTCAAATGCTAATGGACATGATCCAAGGACAGAAATACTGTCACAGAAATGTCTGCAAACTCCCTTATTCCACTTGCATGTTTCCTAAAACATGTTCACAAGCCCATAGCAACAACACAAAGGCTACATTTAAAAGAAGGCTTGTGAAGGCTTTAATAAAGACAATAAACAATTTCCTGGGAACAAAAGATCAAAATAAAAATAAGGGAGGCATTATTCTCATATATGAGGAAAGTGTGCTCAAAGGATGAACCATGGAGAATCAGAAAGCATTCATCCAAAAGAAGAATAAAAAATATCACCACAACACTGGTACTGTGACTTGAAGTAGGAGTGAAACTGAATCAAAATTCAGAGGGAAATGTTCTGATAACACCATCTGCTCATTTGCACTAAGCCAGATTCCCCTAACACAGGCCATCATAATGTCTTATGCATGTTTTTCCACTGAGGACAATGTGTGTAAGTACATAATTTATCTTGATATCAATATCTCCTACCATATTCAATAACCATAGTTAATGAATTCTTCAATTGTTTTAAAGGAGATACTGAAATAGTTTTCCCTTTTTATTGGAGACAGTAATAACCATTACCTTTACTCTTGTCACTTCACTGCTTCTTTAATATGGCAAATGAAGTAACATACCATTCAGATTCTGGTAATTCAACAAATAACCAGGGCCGGCTCCAGCATTTCTGCCGCCCCAAGCAAAAAAAAAAAATTGGTGTGGCAGTTCAGCGGCAGGTCCTTCGCTCCTAGAGGAAATGAGGGACCTGCCGCCCCCGAAGAATTGCCGCAGATGCCGCCCCTCTCCCTTGGCCGCCCCAAGCACCTGCTTGTTGAGCTGGTGCCTGGAGCCGGCCCTGCAAATAACAATACAATCATACCATATATATATACACAAAAGTTACCTTAGGGTAAAAAAAGCTGCTAGCAGTTCACACTCTGCTCAGTTGAAGGATGGGGACAAACCTGTGCAAAGCCTGAACAAATTCTTTGGCCTCATCCACACTAACCCCCCACTTCGAACTAAGATACGCAACTTCAGCTACGTGAATAACGTAGCTGAAGTCGAAGTACCATAGTTCGAACTTACCGTGGGTCCAGACACGGCAGGCAGGCTCCCCCGTCGACTCCGTGTACTCCTCTCGCGGAGCAGGAGTACCGGCGTCGACGGTGAGCACTTCCGGGATCGATTTATCGCGTCTAGACAAAACGCGATAAATCGAACCAGAAGATCGATTGCTTACCACCGGACCCGGAGGTAAGTATAGACGTACCCTTTGTTATTACTAAATTTTCCACGAACCTGCAAAGTGCAAAAGGCTGTGCTCTTGCAAAATACATCCTGAAAGCTGAAAATCATGACAGATGTGATATTTTGTGCATAGCATTTAACATGGATTCTGTATTAAAACTTTATTTTACCCAGCCACATCCAAGATAAATCATTTGTTCTGAATTTTTGTTAATATTTCTCTGGTACACATTTTCTTAATATTTTAAAGCATTCCTTCAAAACTATTCCTATCAGGGACTTGATGATCAATAGTTAATTTCAGATCTATTGTGTGGTTTTGCACAAAATCATTTTGAATGATATACTCTCTATCTTAAAGTCAGGAAATGGATTATAGATCTTACAAACTGTTTTAAAATTATCATTATGGTTGTGAATCAATCTGACAAATGCAAGAAAATTCCATATTAAAACTAAAACACCTGCCCCCAACCAGACACATTTTGATGAATGTGAATGTTTTTATTTTTTCAGTTCAAGGATTATTTATGGCTAGAGATAGAAAAACATAGTTTCATTTTTTTCAACTGCCATCTAAACTTTTGTCCATTAACAAAAATCTTGCTAGAGATGTGTAACAAATATAGCTACAGCATATATAGCATGGATTTTATTCTTAGATAGCAATGGGTCCTAAAACTGCTATATGAGAAAAATACAGTCAAAAGAAATTACAGATTAGTCATCTGTGGATTGTGGGTGTGAGTGTGGGTGTGCATGTAGTGATTACTATATGCTAAAACTGTCTTGAACTTTTTGTTATTTATAATTTACCAAAACTATGCAGTTATTTTTAAAGTATAATGCCACTTTTCCAAAAAATAATAAAATTTAAATGTTAAAACATTAAAAACACAAATCTCCATGCTGATGACTCACGGAACTACCTCTCCATTTCAGACCTGTCCTGTTTTCCTCTGTCCAAATTACAATCTCAGCCTGTCTCTCTGACATGTTCTTGTGGATGTGTTGCCATCAGCTCAAACTAAACATGGCTGAAACAGTGCTCCTAAGTCCTTCCCCCACCAAGCCCTCCCAGCTACTTCCTTTCTTGATGACTGTGGACAACACCATCATCCGACCTGTCATTCAGGCCCATAATTTGGCTGTCATCTTTGACTCAGATCTCTCTCTCTCAGGCGTCACATCCAGGCCATATCTCATTATAACATCTCTAAGATACAGCCCTTTCTTATACATTCACACAGCTAAAATGCTCATCCAAGTTTTCGTCACCTCGTGTCTTGATAAAGGCAACATCCTTTTCTCTGGCCTTAATAAATGATGTCTTGCCCCGCTCATATGCATTCAGAATGCTGCTGCAAATTTTCCTAGCCCATCTGGTGATGTTATCCCTCTCTTTGAATCCCTCTCCTAGCTCCCCGTTCTCTATTACATCAAACATAAGATACTTTTATTCACTTTCAAGGCCCTTCATGATCAGTCCCACCCTATTTTCTCTATCAAGCTATTGTTGCTCACTTCTGATCACCCCATGATACCAGTCTCCTGCATCCTTTCTCCATTGCTCCCCACATGCTTGGGAATTGTTCCCCAGGAATATCTGCAAAGCTACCTCATTATCCAACTTCAAATCCTGCCTCAAAACTCTTCTTTGCCAGGAGACGCACAAAACATTCAACAAAAGTTAGGCTGCTGGTGTACAGTGACAACAGCCTATCATGCTGACCAATATTGTCTTACTATTTCCTTGTACTCTTCTGTAGTCCATTGGGGCAGAGACTGTCATTTTGTTCTGTATTTTTACAGTACCTAGCACAGTGAGGTCCTGGTCCATGACTAGGACTCCTAAGTGCTACAGTAATACAAATAAATAAATAAATAAACGATTACTCCACAAAACGGACACAGAGATTGAATTCGCGAGAGAGCCAATCTATTACTGAGTTAAATCAAATACTGCTGCCCTTTCAAAACTGTAATTTAAAAAAAATGTGGGTCTTTTTACTTGTTTTAGATATTTGCTAATAAATATGTGGTGACACTTGTTCAGGATAAATTAGCATGGCTTTACTGTATACCATTACCATATAAAAAGCTTCATGTGATTTGAAGTTTGATCTACTATAACCTTTTTTAGAATAAATATTTATCGTTATACTTTACTACTAAACCTTTCCCATGTTTGCTTTTAGGAAATACAAGAACTCTTGAAGCCATCTCTGACAATGTGCACTCTTTTCTGGTGTTCCAAAGCCCTGTTTCTTCTGATATTTTGCAGGTAAGAAAGCTAAACTGTTGTTATCCCTTTGATATGTGTGCATAATATAATTGGGTATCACCAAACAGATTCTAGTTAGAACATTATTTTTTCCCAAGTAACAAATGCACCTGAGAGTCTGACCTTTAAAACATGAATGTAGTTCTGCTGAAATCAATAGGGTTGCAAGGATGTAACTTTTCAAAAACAAAGACAAAAAGCACTCTTTAAAGAACATTAAAGAACAAAATAATTTTGAAGAGGTCTGTGACAGGTAGCCCCCCCTTCTAGGGTGCCACCTGATGTACTGGGACACCACTTAGCCCACCTGTTCTGCCAGCCTGGGCTTCCTTACCCTGTCTTGCTCAGCCACGCCCTCAAGCTTCCTCTAGCACACACACAGGTAGGGACACATCCAGCTGCAGAAAGACACGCAAACTGAAATCAGTACTGAATGGGAAGACTTTTAGCTAAGACATTGCCCAGCACTCAAGTGCACTTCCCCTCTGGAGAGTAAACCCAAAATTGTATTATCTTGCACTGCACAGAGAACTGTACAGTGTAAACTAATTGAAATTTGCCCTCTCCCTTAAAGTGGAGAGTGATATGCACAGCTTTTTGCCCCTCCCCCCGCCCAGTTATGAATTGGGTTTAAAACAAAAACAAGTTTATTAAGTACAAGAGGTAGATTTTAAGTGTTTATAAGGGATAGCCAACAGATCAAAGCAGATTACCTAGTAAATAAACCAAAAACGCAAACTGAGCTTAACACACTAGATAGGTAGGATATAAATTAGCAAATTCTCACTTTGAATGATAAACAGGCTGGCAGACTCTTAAGGCACAAGTTGCTTTGGCTTTCCCACATTTTCATACCACAGGCTAAAGATCCTTCTAGCCTGGGACCATCACTTCCCACTGTTCAGTCCTTGCCCCTCAGGTGTTTCCAGGTGTGTTGTTGCAAGCAGAGTGAGGTTCCCTGATGATGTCATTGTCCCACTTTTATATCTTCTTTCCGCTTGCTGGAAAGCTCTTTTGCTGTGGCCTGGATCAAACAGTTCCCATTATGTAGTGCTATCTCTGAGAGGTTTCTATTATACACAGTTCCTGTGGTAATCCTTGTGCTTGTGTGCATTTTCTCAATAAGCCATTAACATTGTTTGGCCTTTTTACTGTTGTACCTGAAAGGCTGCTTGTGGGTGCTTTTAACCTCACAACATGTTTCAGTAACACATACATAGCCAAACTTCATAACGTCACATTCAACAATAACACGTACAATTCAACAAGATGTTAACGTCTAACAGATCAAGACCTTTGGAATGATACCTCACAAGCCATACTTTGTACAAAATGTATCCTAATTACATAACAATGGTAAATATTGGGGTTTCAGGGTGTCACAAAATCTATGCAACATATCCTTCCCCTATGAAAAGATAAAATAAGAGGGAAAAGTTTACATATACTGTGACAGGATGTATAGACCCCACACGGATGAGGAAGGGGCAGAGAGGCATGGGTGGAAGGCCTAGCCCCACCCCTCTGGCCCTGTCAATCAGGCATTATAGGGAGGAGGCCTTTAAAAGGAAGGAAACTGCAGTCAGTTGTGGAAGTACACATGCACCAACCACCACCACCAGGATTGCCCCAAGCAGAAGACTGCAGGAGCAAGTTGTGAAGGGCACTCCTAGGCAGGGAACCTTCACCCCGACCCTGAGGAGAGTACAGCAGGCTCCCAGTCCCAGCTAAGACAGACAGGTTAAGCCTGTCTCAGAGACCCAGCCACAGCAATTTCCTCAAACCCATTATGCTGGGACTGGATTCTTGGCAGCACTAGACTTGCCACCCCCATATCCCCCTTTTGCTGAAACTCCAGGGGAGTTTAAAACTCTCAGGTTTTCTCCTTCAGCCCTTCACGCATATAGCTCCCCCAAACACGTCCCTGTCAGTATCACATCCCACTTTTCCTTTTGGAGGGAATCAAGCAGAGGAAGAGTGAAGAAGAGGTTGTCTATAGGAAGGAATCCAGTTAGTCCCTTCTGGGCAGGGCCGGCTCCAGGCAGCAGCTTGCCAAGCAGATGCTTGGGCCGGCCACTCCGGAGAGGGGCAGCACGTCCAGGTATTCGGCGGCAATTCGGCGGACGGTCCCTCACTCCCGCTCGGAGCGAAGGATCTCCCGCTGAATTGCCGCCACAGATTGCGATCGCGGCTTTTTTTTTTTTTGCGCCGCTTGGGAGCCGGCCCTGCTTCTGGGACAGAGGAATCCACAGGGGAAGGATCTGGACTGTGGGTAAGGCCCGAGAGGGTGGCCAACGGGCTTTGGGGACTGTTTCTGGGGCCTGCCAACTATGCTTGCTGGCCCCTAAGTGAACCCCACTATACATAATCTTGATTATTTTGGAGCCAGTTGCATGGAAAATTTTACCCATACTGCTTAATTGCTTAATTATGCCTACTATTTTATTATCAAATATTTTCTCTGAGATTAGTATGTTGTGGACCTTAATCAGGAACTCCTTTCTATTTCCCTTTTTGTTTCATAACACCATGTATTTATGGATGAGATCTCTTTAAGAAATTGGGAGATTAATTGATTATCCTGATAGACTCCTACCCTTACACTCTTTTGCAAATGGATAGGGTATAAATTGGCCATTGAGTTTATTCTGTTGATACTTTGAGCCAACAATCTTACAATGAATAGATCTCTCTTCTGAGGGATAGACTAGCAACAACCTCTTCATCCTGCCATGTATATTCTCTGAATTGTGTTTTCTTCACCTATTTACTTGCAAATAAAGTTGGACCTGGATACTGGTGAAGAGTTATTTTCAATATATCCTATTTCAATATCTACAAATGACATTTCTCATTTCATTTCTGGGACTTGGCATTATTTTATATTACAGTCACAACACAAAGCATAGCTTACTCACATTGAAATCAATGGACAACCTGTATAGCCAGTTTCAAGGAAGCAATTTTTGTAAAGAAAAATCAAATAAAACATTGAGTAAAAGTATTCAATACCAAAGTTACAGGAGTATACTGGGTCATTTGTAACCATTAGCTTTGTCACTTTAGAATTAATGCAGGGTCAATAGCATATGCAGCAAAATGGCAAAATCCACTGACATTTTACCATACAGTTCTTCATGTTAAAATTAATTATTGTATAATTTTCCAATGGAATAAAATATATAGAAAATGGTTTAAGGTATGTATGAATCAGATTAGATAGATATATTGGGCCTGATCATGTGGGTTTTGTTCAGGAAATATCCCATTGATTTCAATGAGAGTTTTATAAGATTAAGGAAGGATTGTTGGATTGGGTTTTCAGGGATTGATCCTGAGAGGTTCCAACCACCTTCTGTGAAATGTTAACAGCCTTCACCTGGATTTGAGAACATTTACCATATTTCATCATTGGGTTTTTAATAAGGAAAGAATTAACATACATATTACATTCTTGATAGACTGAAGTGACTATCAGAGAGTTTCATTTCAATTGCTGATGTATTTCAAAGTATTATTGTTTTGCTGTGTAGAAGCCTCTGTGGTTTGTTAAATATAGAATGTATGCATTATACACCTGACAGACCAGAACAAATAGGCATTCCAGTCTACTGGATAAATACATATTCATAATTTTTCTAAAACACATTCTCTAGACAGTAGCCTGGGACAGCTGTTTCAAAGTAATTTTGTATTAGGATAAGTGCTAGTGCATTTTGGATAAATTCCTTAAGAAAATTTAGGAACAAATGGTTGGAGCATTGGCCTGCTAAATCCAAGGTTGTGAGTTCAATCCTTG